CTCCCCTCCCCCTCGACGTGTGCTTCGGGTGGGCGAGCGAGTGGTACTGTACAGTAGGTTACCGGGAGCGGACCGAGCCCCTTCACCCATGTCTATCCTTCTCCCCACCACACACGCATGAATCGGCGAGCGAAAACATATGGAGACTGGGGAGCACCGACTCCACAATTCCCATGCCCACTTCGCACTACTCCTCACTCCTCAAAGAAATGCATAATAAGGGGATGCGGAGCTACCGGTTGTAGTCGGGATTTGACAGAATAGTGCGGCCTCCCAATGAGAAACGACACGTCGGTAAAACGATGTCGTTTCGGTATTGCTGTGACGGTCCTTCCCCATACTGGGTTGGACCGGACCTGGGCAGCGGGAGCGGCAGTATTGCCAGTATTTGACCTGTTCCGGGCGGGGCGGGGTGTGGCCCGCGCGGGACTTTGGCGCTCACCGAGTTGTGGGTTCCTCGGCTACCACGTGTGTCGGTCGCTGAACTGTCCGCGCAAAGTAACTAGCGAACGATCATAGCCGGTAGCGTCGCCATTCGCACATACCAGCGGCACTGCTGTGGGTCCTACCCGCCGCCCGGGACCTGCTGGGAGACCCCTCCCATTCGCACTGCCACAAACTTCACATGAGTATTGGCGGCCTCCCATCTCTCTCGCTCACCAAGGCGCGCGCGCACTGCTCTCGGCGCGGCCCCACGCTGGCGCAGCTGTCAGCGCCCCGGCGGCGTTCGGGACCGTGCGTTCAGAGACCTTCCCTGGACGGGCGCGGGCTGGAGCGCCGAGCCTGCAGACTGATTCCGAAGAGCGCTCAAGAGGACCTGCCCTATGAGTGCGACAAGGATGGAGCTATACATGAGGTATAGGAGAGCGCTCTTCGGAATCAGTCGGCTGGATTTAGGGCGGTGCCATATGCTGGTGTACCGCGGGGAGAGGTGACGTCAGGGCGGCCGCCGCCGGAGATCGGTCGCCGCATGAAATATCCGCTAATGCGCCACTCGGTCGATCGCCACTCCTCGCCAACTCGACCGGACAGCGCGGCTCGAGCGGCGACTAGAACGACGCGCGAACCGGTTCAAATTCGCGTACCGGTTACACTAACGCCGCAGGCATTAACCGCGCATGTGACGCAGCAGAAGGGGGGCCCTTGAAAAAAATGAAAGGGGTGCCAAAGGGGAGGGGGCCGTCGCCTGCGTCCCTCGCCACTGTATTAGTGTTTTAACTCGGCCCCATACCAGATAGTGGCCTATGTTGATTGTTGCTTCTCGCGCCTGACGATGAGTCAGTGAGGTGGACCCTGGTGGGTCCTGGTGGGTCCGGGTGGCGAACCTCTTCGCTCCGCCCTGGATTGCGTGCGTGCCTAGGCGGGCGGCGCTGCCCGGCGGCGGCAGAGGGCACCGAGGTGAAGTGGCCCGGCTCTGGTCCGAGTCACCGCGCGGCATAGCGCGAGGAAGGCCAGCCTAGAGCCCGGGCCGTGGGGCCAGTGGAGGTGATTAAGCAAACGTGATCGCTATGCGGGGTCTGTGCTGCTGCTGTTTCTGTTGCTGCTGTGGCTGCTGCTGCTGCTGCTGCTGCTGCTGCTGTTTCTGTTGCTGCTGTGGCTGCTGCTGCTGCAGCTGTTGCCGGAGACTTGGCAGGACCAAGCGCCGGGGCGCCGGGCGGTCCGGGGACGGACGGACGGACGGACAGACAGACAGACAGCCGGATACAGATAAGTCATAACGAGGATCCTTGACAAGTAGCGAGACCCGCCTGGACAGAGAGGCCCGGTCACAAGGAGGAGAGAAATACTAGAGAAGAGGGAGGGGGCAAAGTTCGGCGTGGTGGGCACCGTCACGGTCGCACCCCATCTGCGCCGGGGCTACCTGCGGACGGCCGAAAACTGGACATCCGCGCCGGGGCCGGTCCGTATGCGCACACGAGCAGTCTGCT